TTAACTTTGCATCCATCATAAGAGTCGGCCGAATTGGATGGCTTTACTTGTGATTAAAAATAATAAATGAATAATTTCCCTTGCTCTTTTTTTTTTTTTTTCCCCTGCCCTCGTTTGCTGCTAAGAGAAAAGGAAAGAAATGATAATAAAAAATTAAAATCATAAAGCAATATGGGCTGAATGGCTGGATGCGGAGGACGAGAGACATTTGTGGGCCTGGACTCTGATGGGCTCAGCTCAGGCCTTTTGCTCATATTAATGACTAGCTAGGCCCCAATATCGGGCCACAAAAGCCTTATAATTGTTTAATATAATTCAATTTAGCCATAACTTTCCGCGGTTTCGTTGGTCCAAGCCTCTGGGCAATGAAGGGTTTTTTTTTTTTTTTTCAATAATAAATAGCTTTTCAAGGTTCAACAGAAGGTGTGATGTACATATGTACCTTTTTATCATGGTTTCAACTGAAAAAAAGAGAGTTGCTGTAGTATCAACTTGTGAGTTATCTGCTTGATTAATTTTTTTATCAAAATAATTTTATTTTATTTTAAAAATATTTTATTGATATTAATCCGGTTAGATTTTGAAAAATTTTTGTTGAATCAACCAAATTATTAAAAAAAACTCGGTGAAATCTATATATTTTTTTAATTTAATTAAAATTAAGTTCTACCTAATAAGTTTTCAGATTAACATGTTGGTGAAACCAAGTTTTTTTTTAGTGGAATTTAATATTTTTGAAAGAGAAAAGTAATTATACATTTTTTTTAATTGCAACCGGTAAAATCTATTTTGTTTCCTCTAGCCTATTGGGTTTCTTAAGAATGTTATTGAGCCCCCAAGTTTCCGAATAAAAAAATATATTGCTAGAATCCCCCCCCCCTCTTTTTTTCCCAGTAGTCCGGAAATAAAAATATTTATTTATGAAAATCTTGTGATTCTTCAAGTATAATCTTGCTTAAAAAACTAAAAATACGTGAAGGTTTTAGGAGGAGCACCAACAATATTTAAGCCTTGTTTTTGCCATAACCATCACAACTCACAACATATACATATACATATATATATATATATACACAAATATGTATATACATATATATATATATAGAGAGAGAGAGAGGGGTATCTATCCATGTCCATGTTCTTAGATTTAGGCTTGTTTGAACATTTATCGATCCATAATTACGATGCCCCATACAGAATTTGCTAAAGCAACATGGTAGACTTGTCGATATGTTCATGGAGGTACGACTAGCAAAGAACGTCACTAGCTCACATTTTGAATAACAAAGTCAAGAGATATAATTGCCAATGTTATAGTTGTAATTTTTTTTTCTTTTTTAACTAGAAGATTTGGAGTACCTGTCAGGCAATATATATAAAACTCAGTGATATTAAATTTTGCTTAGTCTGATAAATTAATTCAGTATCTACTAACTTAGAATCTTTTATACTAGAATCTTATAATGAAAAGAGTTTTTTGTTTTGGTAAAAAGTGAAAGGAAATTAACTAGATTTTTATTTAATTTTCATACACAGCGCGATTAATAAAGCCATAAAAAATCAACAGAAACTCTCTGATATTAATATTTGTGAAAAAAAAGAAAACAATAATAGAAAAATAAAAATAAATACATGATGTGCTTATATTTGGATTTAACTTATATATCTAGATTAGAATTTCTTCATGGAGGAGAAAATCATATCATTGGTCAATCAAGATAGCTTATTGGTTAGCACGAACTTGAGTTTTGTTCTTGGTACATGATTGAAAAAGAAATTAGCGTGTCAATATACAGAGTATATTTATTTTTATTGGCCTTCACGTAAAGTAGTAGTTAACATAGCAAAAGAATAACTATTGGTGATAAAATATAGTGCATGTTTTACGCATACAAGAATGTGTGTTGCGTGTTATATTATCATATGATGATGGTTCATAAAATTAAACATAGAGATATATATAGAAAAAAATAGGCAATAGGCAACCTTAGTGGTTGCCTAAATGGGTGACCATGTTGGTCGCCTGGGTGACCAATAAAGCTCAAATTTTGTTTTTTAAAAATTAAACTCTGGCTCATCAACGAGTTAATCATTAAGTTTAGGGATTAGTTTAAAAATTATTTGAATTTTTGGATAAACTTGTAGGGTATCATGTTAATCTTTGTTATTTATTTTATTAAAATGATATGATTTTATTTTGTTTTTTACAGTAATTCATTAGTGTTAACCTAGTCGAATTTTGATGAAGTTCGACTAAATCAATTAAATCACTAAAAAACTTAGTTTAACTAAGTTTTACATAGTTTTTTTTTTCAATTTAACTTAAAACTTAATAAAGATCAAGTTGCAGGTTAAGAATTTCTCGGATCATCACCTCATTCGATCCAATTTAGTTTAATAATTATTGTGAAAAGTCTTGTAAATGTGGTTTCGGCATTCTCGCTTGATTACCCTCCTGGCGTCTCTCGTTGGTCAAAGTTGCAAACTGTTCCTAACGACGAGGCCGAGGTAGACAATGCTTAGGCATGGTGACAAACCCGAAACATGTCCAAGATTAGGCTCTGAAAACAAAATAGAATATAGCCAACAATTACAAGAGACAATGAAGTCATTTGCATGAATCACTCCTGCAATTATATATATATAGAATTTAACAACTATATACGAGACTGCAAGATAAGCCTCCAGCTCACCTTTTGGAGTTAGGTATTGACAACGTCTTTTTGTATAACTTCTACCAAACGCAAGTGAAAACTTGCAAAATCTTTTACCCTTGATGACAAGTAAGACACTGTCATCTTCGAGTGATCAGGTTGACTCACTGGCCTCCAGTGAGTGCATGCACAGGACAGATCCCGGATGTCTCTCTCTTGTTTATTTTCCCGCCCCTTTATTGTATTTTTTCTCTAACTAAAAATGGGGCCGGCTAAAGATGCCTCCAGCCTTCTGTTGGGCTGAGTGCATCAAGCCACCTCAGTTGAACCGTAGTTGGATTTTATTTTTTTATTTTGCTGTTTAAATACTTCAAAGAAATGCCAAGTCCGACGATATTAATTATGGACAGAAGTGAGGGCCCAAGGTGCTAGCTGGAGGAGAGATCAAATGATTAAGGGAATATATATATATATATATATATATATATATATTAACTCAGTCCTTCACTTGCATAGTTTTTTAATAAACAAGTCCCCAATCATCTTTAAAATCTTGTTACTTTCTCTTTGATGTCTCTTTTGCTTAACGTATTCGCTCATATGTCAGTGTCAGAGTTCACACTATCGTTAGGAGAATTGGTTATACAAACTTGCAAGAAATCGAGTTTATGGAAATCACTCATGTAACAATGTTATAGTGCTACACACACACACACATATGGCTACTGCTGGTCTCCTGATACCAGATATTTCATATCCTTTTCTATCTTGATCTTGACATCCAAACTCTCCCTTTTACCAGTAGCGTGAATAAGAAGATGGAGAAGATGTTGAAGATCAGTTGTTTTCGGTAAATAGAGCGAATGTAGGGTTCTAATCCATCTAGCCTTGGCATGGTACAGTTTTACTTGTGTAATAATAGTATAGTGTTGTATTACAAGTATACGGCTATGAAAAAAAATTGCATTTGTGCTTAATGTCCTTTTGCTTAATGTATTCTTTCTTAGTCTCATAGATAGATGCTAGAATAGAGTGAAGCATATTTAATAAAGTGAAACAACGACATTTTTCTCTGAGATTTATTTCATGTTTTGTTGTTGGTGAAGAATAATGGTATAATAAAGGAGCATTGATAGAAATTATTAATACTCTTTGAACAGTGAGGATTTCTTGAACAATTTAAAATTTATTGTAAATATGTATCATGTAATTCTATTTTGACATGATAAAAATAATAACCCTCTTTGTTCTTGTGAATATAAATATATTATCGAATCACATTCAATGTTATGTTTTTTTTTGTTTTTTTTATTGCAATATTCATCGATAAATATAGAAGGTTTTTTGCAATATTACATTGTCTTAAAATTAGGAGAAATGGTTATACATCTTGCAGTTTATAAAAATCACTCGTGTTTTAGTGTTATACTGGAAGTATATGGCTATAAAAAAGATGCTTAATTTCTTATTCATTGACAGAATAAATTATGTCTATTTGATGTTTTTTTATTTTATTTTGTATAACGAAATACATTGATTGATTAATAATACATTATGATATACAATGACTGACATGAAAAAATAAAAACTTTCATTTCAATTAAAATTGTTTTTTATAGAACTCTTCCTAATATTTACCACTCATAGATATAGTTTCATAAATCGTGATATTAATAATAACATGTTTAGGAAATGCTAAATGTTCTATTTAGACTTTCTTCTGAAAGTGTTCTATCATTGAACATAACATAACGTCAAAACCGATGAAGCATGAATTTGTTTGTATATCAAGTTTTTCCTAAATTGATAAGATTTAAAGGTAAAAACACCGATATGTCAATGAATACATAAATTGGGGACTGATTTGTAACTAATCCAATGATTGATCAATGTTGTTGCAGGACTTGTTTATTGCAGGACCAATCAAGAAAAAGTCTTCATGGAACTATTTATTCTACGAAGAAGATTGTTTAGCTTTAGGTAGATCCAGACAAAGCCAGCCGTGTTCTAAATTTACCCTAGACTTTAGAGGACTGTCGGTGCATGTCTGTAGCATTGCATGGTAATGCATCACTGTCTACTCCTCCATCTAGTTGTTACCATTGATTACCACTCTTTTGTACACCGAAAAAACTATCCACGTCTCCTTACCGACACTACTTCGGAAAGCTCCCTGGCTCCCACTAGGTTGCTGTAAGGATATGGAGGAGTTGAGAGGGCCATAAAGGATAGCCTTTGCCTTGTCTTGTCCTTGTTGTCTGGTTTTCAATTTAAATCTCCTAATACAGCAAGAAAATGGGAATTATACTGTTTTAAGTAAAAGAAAAAGGTAACTAACTGGCCTCCATTGCCCACTAAGTTTCTTGTTTTAGCAAAACAGAATTTCAAAACTTCCACTGCTTGAAACCATGTCTTGATAAGGAATCAAAATCTTGACAAGACTCCACATTTTCTTGGAAGTGAATCGTTTTCTTGATGTGGGTTCCTTTGTGTGGTTGAGAAGTTTACCTTTTTTGCTTTAACTTTGGCATGTATTAGGACTGGTAAATCAATTAATTGAAGTGCCTGAGGATATTTATTTATGGAATAAAATTAAGAAAAGTAATTTTGAGACTTGTTTGTGATTTGATTGAGGGGGGAGTTTTGAATTAATTGCTTGACTGTTGATGGTTGAAACAGAAGGGAAAGGAAGAAAGATGAGTGGCAGTTTGATTGTCTCTCTCTTAGCATCATAAATAAAGAAGAACAGAAAAGGAAAAGTTACATTGCTGTCGACAGCTCTGAGACCGTCATATTCTGCAATGGAAGTGAGTGCAGGCTTGGTGGCCGGCTCTCACAACAGGAATGAACTTGTTGTTATCCGTCGCGATGGAGAATTCGCTGTAAGCAGCTAGTTTTCTGTAAATACTCTTCTACTTCTTATGCCAACTTATCTTGTCTTAATTCCACATTTTACTTGTTTATTTGTTTGCAGCCGAGATCGTTAGAGAGAGTGAGTAGGCAGATATGCCACATATGTGGAGACGATGTAGGGCTAACGGTGGATGGAGAGCTATTCGTGGCCTGCAATGAGTGTGCCTTCCCCATCTGTAGAACTTGTTATGAGTATGAGCGTAAAGAAGGAAATCAAGTCTGCCCTCAATGCAAGACCAGATTCAAGCGTCTCAAAGGATGTGCAAGAGTCCATGGGGATGAAGAAGAAGATGGCACTGATGATTTGGAAAATGAGTTCAATTTCGATGGAAGGAATAGCAACAGACATGATATGCAGCACCGTGGTGGACCTGAATCTATGCTTCACTACGATCCCGATTTACCTCACGACCTTCATCATCCTTTGCCCCAAGTCCCTCTCCTTACTAATGGTCAAATGGTACTTAGCTCTGCTTCCTGTTCTGTCTTAAGGCTTTCCAAACTTTGTAATGAAATAATGACCCTTCATGACTTGCAGGTTGATGACATTCCTCCTGAACAACATGCTTTGGTCCCTTCATACATGGCTTCTGTCGGTGGTGACGGGAAAAGGATTCACCCCCTTCCCTTTTCAGATTCTTCTCTTCCTGGTAATTATTCCTATTCAGCCAATAGTTTAGGCAAATTGGGGGATCTTGGCTTTTCTTTCTTTCTTTTCTCTCCTTGTAAATTAAAGGGCGATTGGCTGCTGCAGCACAACCAAGATCGTTGGATCCTTCCAAGGACTTGGCTGCTTATGGTTATGGAAGTATTGCTTGGAAGGAAAGGATGGAGAGCTGGAAGCAAAAACAGGACAAACTGCAGATAATGAAGCGTGAAAATGGAGACTATGATGATGATGACCCCGATCTCCCATTGTACGCCTTAGTACCGACCTTTCTTTATAATTCCTTGCATAATTAATTGTCTTTAAGCTTTTTTATTCTTCTTATTTCCAGATTACTTGCATGATTTACTGATTATTACACTTACCATTAGTTTCTCTTTCTGCTAAATGATTCGATTACGCAATCACGAATTCTGTTTTTCCATGTCTCTCCTTATGCCTAAGAGCTTTAATCTAGTTTTTTGAGGAAATTTAATTGTATGTAAAACAATAGTGCATTCTTCACTGTAAGTATATAAGTTTTAAACATGAGTCTTCATGCTGGAATGTTGGCAGGTATTATAGACTGTAGTGGAATAATGGTGGCAATTTCTCTTAGTTTCTTCTCTCTCTTCTCCCGCTTGAATTCCCACTCTTAGCTTATTATTAAACTTAAGATATCATAAAAATTACTGATTATGGAAATAAAAATTATTCCTTGTGGATCAGAATGGATGAGGCAAGGCAACCACTATCGCGAAAGTTGCCTATTCCGTCCAGTCAAATCAATCCTTACCGAATGATCATCATTATTCGACTCGTAGTTCTTGGGTTCTTTTTCCATTATCGAGTCACACACCCTGTGAATGATGCGTTTGCGTTGTGGCTCATATCTGTGATCTGTGAGATTTGGTTTGCTGTTTCATGGATACTTGATCAATTCCCAAAGTGGCTCCCTATTGACAGGGAAACTTATCTGGATAGATTATCTCTGAGGTAAGAAATCTGCCATGTGCTTTGGTTCCTACAACTAAACTATTGGCAAGACATTAGGTGAACTCATGGCCCTAACTTGTTTGTCAGGTATGAGAAGGAAGGCCAACCTTCTCAGCTTTCTCCAGTTGACATATACGTAAGTACAGTTGATCCATTAAAAGAGCCCCCTCTGGTGACAGCAAACACAGTTCTGTCCATTCTTGCAGTGGATTACCCTGTTGACAAGATTTCATGTTATGTTTCTGATGACGGTGCTGCTATGCTGACATTTGAGGCATTGTCAGAAACATCTGAATTTGCAAAGAAATGGGTCCCCTTCTGTAAGAAATTTAGCATTGAACCTCGGGCACCCGAGTTCTATTTTGCTCAAAAGATAGATTATCTCAAAGATAGGGTTGATGCTTCATTTGTTAAGGAAAGAAGAGCAATGAAGGTGATTAGGCTTCAATCAAAGATTTTATTTTCTTGTGCCTCTTTCTCACTCTCCCCCCTTTCATCTTTGTTTTCCAGTTTTTAAAGTGACCCTTTTACTTATTCCAACTGCAGAGAGAGTATGAAGAGTTTAAGGTTCGGATCAATGCTTTGGTTGCGAAGGCACATAAGGTCCCGGAAGATGGATGGACAATGCAGGATGGTACTCCATGGCCTGGGAATAATGTTCGTGATCACCCTGGAATGATTCAGGTATGTGAATATTGATCCTCGTTTAATGCTCGTATGATAGTGATTCAATTCTTGAATAAACAAATTTTCTCAATGCTTCATAGGTTTTCCTAGGCCAAAGTGGAGGGCATGATACAGACGGAAATGAATTACCACGTCTGGTATATGTTTCCAGAGAAAAGAGACCTGGATTTAATCACCACAAAAAGGCTGGGGCCATGAACGCTTTGGTGAGTAACTCAAAATGGATTTACGGCATGTTTATTTTTTAAAAAGTAGTTTTTGAGAAATTATTTTTTAAATTTTTTTATATTTATTTGTTATTAAAAAAGTTGATAAACGAACAACATTTTCTGGTTAACTGAAAATACTTTTCAGTCAAAGAAAAATTTAGCTTGGTTTTCAGGAAAGTGTTTTTTTTT